ACCAAAGGTAACATTTTCATTTGTGCGCGCTATTTTTGTCGTTTTCAGGTATATTGTCTCTCTCCCGCATAAAATAACTCCAAAGATATGTTTCTAAAAACCTTATTCTCGGTATTCTTTATTCTTTAAGCATATTTGAAACTCTGTACGTTTTTGTTAAACGTTGAGCGTGACGAATTTGGTCTTAGGCGGCGTAAGGCTTCTCCTTTCACGAATTCCGTATTTATGCCTTTAAGTGTATGACATGAAAAGTAGTTCGTGTATTAGAGGGTCCCTGTATTTTTTTTATTATTATTATTATGAAAATTACCAACAGGAACTCAAAAGAGTTTCCTCCCAAATTATCCATTCAGGGTGAGGTTTAGAGTAACTCTCTAATCTGTAAACAGACTTGCTTCGGAAAGAAACTTTTATTACGGAAAAATTAACAAATGCAGCGAGCGAAGCATATGCAACACACTCAAAACTGCTGACACTTAATTGATGCGTAGGAGCTGATCCATTAAACATAAGTAAGTTGTTTTTAAAGGGCTGTGTGAAAAAAAATCCATCCGTGGCGGAGTGGGATGGATATTTTTTTGGAATTACGAAATCTATGCTACAAATGCTATATTACAATGCTTAATTAAGGAAGTTCTTCATTTCACTGTCAATTTTTTTAGCGTCCAATAAATATTCTGTTTATTGTTTTGAATTGCTCGTATTCATGATGACGTCAGGGCTTGTTTATGATGGGGACAGAATCGTCTAGAACAATAGAAATTCGTTTAAAACTCGCTCTGGTAAGAAAAGTTTGAACTCAAATGGCCTGGGACTCAAATATGAGATGCACTAATGTTTAATAAGCAATATTTATTGCACTTGATGGCTGTCACCGCTTTTCTTTGGTCAATAAAACGAATTTCAAACGAAATCTCAATTTTTTTTGTGTTGTTGCTGTTTTGTCCCCCTCCCGCGACCATGATTCTTTGTGTTTAAACAATAGATTGTTTTGATGTGACGTCGTTATGAATAAGGGCAATTCAGACCTCGTTTTGTTTTGTTCGCTATGGCGGTAGAAAATTTGAACTAATTTTTTAGTTCTTGACACATGTCATTGTTTGTATAATCTCGTCTCGTTATATGACCTAAATAATATATAATAGTCTAATTACTATGTATATATTA